AGCATCTAACGATCGTCTTAGTCCATTCATGCTGCTATAACAAAATGCCTGAGATTGGATCATTTACAACAAGGAAATTTCTTTCCCACGGTTCTGGAGCCTGGAAATCCAACCAGGAGGCACAGGAGGTTTGACTTGGGTCTGGGGAGGGCAACTTCCCTGCTTCCAGCGAGGGCACCCCGTCTCCACCCCCCAGAGGGATCAGTGCTTTGCCCTCCATGGCCACAGAGGTGGCAGGCCAGGCAGCTCTCCGTACCCTCGTCCATCAGGGCATTAAGGCCGTCCATGAGCCCAGAACCCTCATGGCCTGATCACGTCCCCAGAAGCCCCACCTCTTAGTATCACCACAAAGAGGATGACGTTCCCAGCATGGGACACGTGGAGGGACACGTACCTTCAGACCACAGCCACGGCATCCATCTCCTGCTGGTGCTGCTCAAGCTGCGAGGTATCTACACAGACGCACCCAGGACCCCCCCTGAGCCACCACCCAGCCTGCCATCCACGTATTTTGAGACGTTTTCACTTTTGTTCAGTTCAGTGTCTCTTCAATTYCACTTCTGAACTCCCTCCGACCCGTGGGTGTTATTCAATCTAAAAACAGTGGGGGATTCCCAGATACCACTGTCACTGGTCTCCAGGTTTTTAAAGATTTTTTATTTGTTCTACTTAGTTGCCCGAGACAGCAGAAGGCACTTCAATTCATCGCACACGAGTGGAGCGCGACATTTCGATGCTCTGAGTGGACACGGGGTAGACGCGTTATGAAGTTAAGCTTGTCATGACTTCGATTCTGTGATTGTTCTTTTCATCGAGACCCCCGTGTACCCCCAATTTCCTTCTCCTGCTTTCTTCTTTCTTCTTCTTCTATGTATGACTAACATAACTTTCTAAAGATATTTGGCTCTTTTACTTATTCGTTTATTTGCAGTGCTGAGGATTAAACCCAGCCTTGTGCATGTGAGAAAAATGCTCCCTCACTGAACTATGTAGTAATTTATTTTACTCACTTTCTTTCCACCGGTGACCGCTCTGACAGTAGGGATTTCGTTGTTGTTTAGGGATGAATCCTTGGTGCCTGGAACACAGCTTAATACTTAGTAGGTGGTCGATACATATCTGTTGAATGGATGAATGAACAAATTGGACAGGTTAGGAGACCAACAATCAGAGATGTTGTTCTATTCCTCGGAGGTCACACAGCATGAATGGGGCAGAGCTGGGGTTCTCCAGGGTCCAAAGCCTTATGTTTTTTTTTTTTTTTTAATATTTATTTTTTAGTATTTGGCGGACACAACATCTTTGTATGTGGCGCTGAGGATCGAACCCGGGCCGCACGCATGCCAGGCAAGCTCGCTACCGCTTGAACCACATCCCCAGCCCAAAGCCTTATGTTAGACTCTGGGGATGTGCCTGGATTCCACTACCAGTCCCTGAATACCTACTGTGCGCCGGGTCCAGAGGGATGGCATTGGCCATGCGTCCACCGTCTTTACACAGTAGGACCACTAGCCTTTCTTGGGCTTGCCTTGCTCCAGGCCCAGCAGCGTCAGTGAGCTCCCTTGATGTGCGGAGATGCCATCAGCCTGTCCTTCTGACCCGTTTGCCTGTCCCCTGGACATGTCCACGTCCATCTGGAGCCTGCTGCTCTGCGGTGCTGAGCAGGTAGGCTGAGCAGATAGGCTCTTCCGTCTCAGACAAGCCTCTCCT